CAAACGGCATTTCGTATTAAAATTGTGCCACTTGGAACACATGTTCCCTAGACCTATTGGAGTGATTTGAGTCGCAGAGCCGGAAGTTCCGTCCCTTAGGATTGAAAATGGCGCCAATTTTCAAAATTGAGGCGAATTTCAGGAAATATCTGTTTTTAGAGCGATTTTTACGTTTAGGGTGACGTTTACGAGGTTGCCGAGGGTGAAAACGACAAAAACAATATCCGAAGCTAATTTCTGTGTGGGAAGCGATTGTATATCTTTAACGTCCGACAAGATTCGAAAGTTTCTTGGAAAGTTTGACCGATTTTCGTGGTTGAGGTGGCGTTTTTGAGATTCTTTTAGGTGAAGATGACCAAAAAAGACCCATTAAAGACACATCCTACAATCGATATCCAAAATAGGCATTTGCGCTCCTATTTGACAACGCAAACGTCATATTTTTCAAGGAATGTCAATTTGTCGCTTATAAGCGACAAATAAAAAAACCGCTCGCTCTCCAAATGATAAACTATTAATCAAATATGCATTGCTCAGAGTATCCCATGACAACGAGTAAATTACATCTTTCATTTGGGCATAAGATTAAAATAATAATCTATATTTGAGTGAAAAATTTAAATTTTTGGAAATATGTGAACTGCTCGATTGTAGAATAGTATATTATATACCGCGGAACTGAAGTAGTACTTTTAATCCCGAAGGTAAAGTTTATGGCCCGACCGAAGGGAGGGCCATAATTTACCTGAGGGATTAAGACCACTACTTCAGTCGCAAGGTATATACGATATTTTTCGTACTTCCGAAACTGAAACACTTAATCTGTATGGAGTTAGAGAACGCGTTCTTTCAAAAAATCGCTACTTAACAAGTTACCATAGGAACGTTGCGTTGGTACGACAATTCCACGATACACTTACACACGGTATGCTCATTATTTTTCTCAAACGCGTTTTCTACTGCGCATTACGTCACCTGCGAATGTGTGACGCCAAAATTCAAATGTTTATTCACGATCCAGTACACATGTCACGCGTGACAGTTTGCAACTGATCAGTTGTATCTACGAGCTTTAGCGTTAATTTGTTGATATAATTAATCGTTAGTGAAAATTCCAAAATGCCAGGTTGTGTAGTGGTTCAATGGAGCAATTCTAATAGAAAATCAAAAGGAACGGAAATATAATACTTTCGATTTCCAGACATTGAAGACTTTTCTCGAAAATGGATTGTTGCATGTCGTTGTAATGATAAAATTAACTTGAAAAATGGTGTATTTTAGTATTTACATTGCTGTTTAATTTTATAGTCTGTATTTGTTCTGTCCATTTTGAATCCAGCCGTTTTGAAGCACCGCTATGGGAACGACTTCTTAATTACACTTTTAAAAATAGCGGACATTTGAAACCTGATCCTGTACCTACTTTAAAACCACCACGTAATAATGAAAATCAAAATAACAGGAAAACGGAGGAGAGATTAGATCTTTTGATAACGCATTAATTACATAATATTTACTTAAAAAGCCGCACTTCATGTTTAGAACCTATATTTTTGGTTAGAGTTTATTTCATACGATCGCTAAATCCCAGAAATACCCGACGCGACGATCTCTACACAAATCAGTGTGATTTGTCTATCTAAGAAGCGTAATTTTGCTCTATATTCTGTGTTTTTGTTCGCACGTGACGTCACGCTAGATGCGCAAGAGCATACCGTTGTAAGTGTATCGTGGACAATTCCTATGCTGTGGTAACAAAAATAATTTGGAAACTGTCATTGCTAGTGTCATAATTTTGGTGGTGGGTGACAAAAGTGTATTTGATATTCATAAAAAGCAGCCAAACTAGGTAAAGAATTGATACCACCGAAATCCAAAAAACTATATATGAGCAGCAGTACGATACGTTTAAGTAGTGCCGCATACAAAATGTGGAACAACCTACTGAAATTGCCTTGTTAGTAATTTCATCCTTCCGGGATTTTCGTCAAAATTTAATCCCGGCGGGACAAAAAGTGACACTTCAGTACTTGTCATAATGGAGTGAAGTGGTAACTTTAGTCTCGGAAGTACGAAAAAAATATTGTGTGCAATTCGATCGCAAATTGATTGTTGATTTCAAGAGATTAGCGCGGCAAATGTCTCTTTCAATCGACAATATATCATTTTGCGCCCTTAATACACAAATAGCTATTTTTTACGAATTTTTAAGTATTTTGAATCAACAGGTCGAGGTAAACTAAGTGCAAAGGTGAAACTTATTCATTGAATTCGGTTTTTAACTAAAAATTGTTGATTATTGAAACGTATTTACAAGTAAAAAGTCATAAGTCATCAAAGGGGAATGCCTCATCATCGCTCAGATCTCCTGTTGCAGTCGAGATATAAAAAAATATTTAGTTAAGATCATTAAAAATAAAACTCTGACAGTCATGTGTATAAAATAAGCATGTACATACGTACTCGGCTCCGATTTTTGCAGTGTTCTTGACAGTTAGAACACTGTAGGGTGCAGGGAAGCCTGTTTCGCAACACCTTATGGTCTCACAACTCACACAAGTTCACTTGCAGCCGCATTTCCGTAGGATTGTGAGCTCCTTTCATATTTACACCTATTTGGTCCAGTTTGGTTCCCAGCCCACTTTGCCTCGTGTCCATCCCCAAGTTGACGGATGTGGAGGGCATTCAGTAGGATAGAAGCAGTGCCCCCACAACACATGACCTGCTTGATTGGGGACAGGAACTGCAGTAATTTATTTTTGGTACAAAATAAATATTTTCTCACATTAGTAGTGGATTTCTCCTGTGCTTCGGGGTCATAGAGAACGGTAGTAAATTCTTCCAAAGTTTTAATTGTTTTTTTCTGTTCTTCCTCTTTGTGAATTGGAGAGTCCAAGTAAAGCTGGTGTCACGTCCGGGCGTTTCATCCAAGTCATAAACGCCTTCTTGTTTCCAAAAGAATTGAAGCAGGGCGTTGTGGTACAACCTGTGTAACAATGAAAGCCCCGTAGGCCTTGTGAATTTTCTTCTCCAAGTGCTAATGCAATCAAATGGGTCGCTATATATCGACGCTTTGCATCAACACCTGACATATATCCTTCTTTCAGTCCGAGTTCTTTCAGAAAAAAAAAACAAAATATATATGACCATCAGAACGTCAGTATCTCAAGACTGGACGAGGATGTTCTGGGCTCCATGCTCCATCATATCTTTCGCATGGAGGATGATTCGCCCGTCCGCCTCTTCTTGCGTAACTTGTATCCCATCAAAAGGGAAAGCGTTCTCAATCGTAGGAAAATGCGGCTGCAAGTCAACTTGTGAGACCATGAGGTGCTCATGCTTACGAAACAGCCTTCCCTGCACCCTACAGAGTTCTAACTGCCAAGAACACTGCAAAAATCGCAGCCGAGTATATGTACATGCTTATTATAAACATGACTGTCAGCGTTTTAACTGCAACAGGAGATCTGAGCGATGATGAGGCATTTCCCTTTGATGACTGATGACTTTTTTACAATAATCAACAATTTTTAGTTAAAAACAGGATTCAATGAATAAGTCTCAATTTTGCACTTAGTTAACCTCGATCTGTTTATTCAAAATACATAAAAATTCATTAAAAAGGCCTTTAATGGGTCTTTTTTGGTAATGTTCACCCAAAAGAATCTCAGAAACGCCACCTCAACTATGAAAATCGGTCAAAACCTTTGAATCTTTTCGGACGTTAAAGATATCATACAATTGACCTATATATGATAAATGAAACATGCTTCCCACATAGAAATTAGCTTTGGATATTATTTTTGTCATATTCACCGTCGGAAACCTCGTAAACGTCACCTCAAACATAAAAATCGCTCTAAAAACATATATTTCCTGAAATTTTAAAAATTGGCGCCATTTTCAATCCTAAGGGCCGGAACTTCCGGCTCTGCGACTCAAATCACTCCAATAGGTCTAGGGAACATGTGTTCCAAGTGACACAACTTTAATACGAAATGCCGAATAATACCAATATTTATCACGAGCCGCTCCCGCACTATATAGGATAGTAGGAATGTTCGAAATTGCATCGTACGTGAAGGGTAGAAGGAATTGTTCATAAGTATAAAATTACTGGAGAGCTTAAGTCGAGATCTTCATCGTTTTCCTTATTACATGCAAATTGCAAAGCGTTAATCCGACGAAGTTACAACCCTTTTTGGAGAATACAGCGGTTTACAAGACAAGAACGTTAGTGTGCTACAACATAAAAACACGAAAAAACGATAACTTAAAATTGAGAGGGCTTAACTTCGGCATCAATATCGCTTTTCCACAAGGCGACACATAACAAGATGTTAAATGCAATATAAGATTGCTTTCCAATGCAAACATAAGTTGCCTCCGTTTTGTTTCGAAAGTTAATTTAAAATTATCACAGTAACAATAGCTAGCGTAGCGAACCAAAACCTTTGCTGAGTTACACCTTGATTATTAAGTTAAATGTTTCAACAAACTTAGGGTTGTCTAAGGGCTGTCAAGAGCACACATAAGTGAATCTTACCCATTTACTTAGACATTGAGTGGCAAAGAGCACTTTACATTAACGGATGCTTTGAAGTGAGTAAACTGAAGACACTGGGAACCTGCAGAGAATTGTACGGTTGGCTGCATCTAAGGAAATCTAACCTACCGTATTAGATCTCATTACTTTAACGTCTCTCTCCCCCAGTAATATGTTTACTATTCAAAGTTTCATTATTTATAAGAGAATCAATTGTAATAACTACAAAAATACGCAAACTGTGTATAATATTCAGTTTGATTCTTGTCTTTGCTGATCTAAACAATATCTTAGCGTTATTCTTTTACATCTCTTAGTGTGTTTCTTGTTGTCTGTCCGTCAATCCATCCCTATCCCAAAGCACTTCCTATAGGAAAGCACAATAGATCTGAAAGTTCCTCCTATACATTCAAGTCCCTGTAATCGCGTTATACCAGTTAACTGCGATGACTATCAAATTCTCATAGTTTTGACAGTTTTCTGACCGTCAAGCTAATAAAGTATGAATTGCCTACATTTCCATTTAGTAAGCAGAATTTCGGCAAATCAATTTAGAAATGCATGGAACAGAAACTTTAGTATGGCGCTTGTAAATTTTACCTGATCATAGCTATAACCTTTTGCTTTGCTTTCTTTTTTCCAGAATTGCTTTAAACCCACCACCGCTAAGCCGCGTAACAACTGGCCTACATTTCAGTGAGTAATTAGATGTGGATTCGCCTATTAATCCGATTGTTTGTTAAGGTTTCATCCTCGCAGCGTACAATTTCACTTGTCCCACACAGCATTTGAAATTATCACTGTAAATGCACCAGAATTTCCCGATTCAGTTTCAGATGGAGACTTAAGGTGAACCTTTAACATTTGGTATACCAAAAAATACAATCTTATATGCAGATGGAAGAAGAAGGTTGGTGATGCCGTAACTTCCGATGAAGTAATTGGTGAAATAGAGACGGATAAGGTTGCGTTACCAATTCCCGCTCCGAGTGCTGGTGTCATTAAGGAGCTACTTCAGCCGGATGGTGCCGTTGTCCAAACGAAAGTTCCAGTGTGTACCATCGAAACTAAATAATCTTATTATTGTACCATTTCTTTTTTTACGGTTTTAAGTGCAATAAACTAGGTAAAAGGATGCCTTAAAGAACTCGTGGGTGCAAAGAAACTGTACACGTCCATCACTCATCAGCGCATCTCCACAGTGAAAATGAAAAAAAAAAACTCACCCTCTATAAACAACGGTAGAGATGAATTTTCATCTTCTTAGTGAAATATTTCAATTTTAGTAGAAAAAATTACACACTATCCACTAGTGCACTAAAGTTTTATCAGGGTAAATTCATAATTTAAGAATTCAAACATAATAAGTCAATATTCAAAAATCGTTTTGAGGTCTTTTGTAGCAAAGTGGTGATTGGACCTTGAAAAGCACTCTTGAATGATAACTGAATAAAGCACCTAAAATTACAAAACCTTCTGCCAGTTTTATTTTGGCGTGTGGGCTATATGTGGTATTTCATTCTTTAGAATAAAATCTGCTTTTTCAGCGAAGTAACGTGTCCAACTTATTCTGTCCAAAATACCTCCTCCCCACCTTTTCCACACATGTTCGAGTATCAACAAACATAAACTTCCGCCAACCCCAACACCTAACAAAGCTAAAGCCCAAGAAGATTCACTTAATTCCACTTCTATCTCCAAATATCGACTGCAGTCAAAGCACTGAGGTTTACGCGAATTCCAATGCAATCTCAATCGGTGCATTATTCCAACTTCCAGTTGTTGAAGATTGCTAGAAGTTTCAAATATATCATACGGCTCAATTGCTCGAAAATTTACCAGTAGAGAAACATTTCCCGAAGCGGAGATTTTTTTGAAAGTGCCATATGCGAATAAATCGGTTGGTATAGTGGTGCCTCCACGAGTTCGCAAACAGCTTTTTCCTCGAATGTTGCTTCTATAATTGAATAGGCGGTGCTTGTTTGTGTATGAAAGGCATACCCTCCGGCTCTAACCTTTGCTAATCCCTCACGTGGTTTTAAAAAGTTCAATTGGTTGTTCGGTTGTTTTATTTTTTTGTTGTACAGAGCTATTGCGACCGGGTCTGTTGTAGTCTGTAACAGCAACTTGTAGAATGAAAAATGACAGTTTACTCCCTCACTTTCATGTAATCGACGTCATACAGCACACTATCCATACCCACTTCTAGTGAACTCTTCACTAAATCCGCAACAGATGTGATCGTTCTTTTTGGAGGTAGCAGTAAAAACGAGACAACGCTGGCCGAGTAAAATTGGAAAATTAAAAAGAAAAACATCAAAACGCTCAGAACTAATATGCGTCCACTTATGAGAAACGGTATGTAAGAAAAACCTAAACCAAAGCATTTAATAATGTTAGTAGTTGCATAGCACCTGACCTTGCTGGCATAGTTCTCCAATATTGTAAACAACAGCAAAGCTCCAACTATTTTCTCCAAGAGAGGATTTCTCACAGTCTTGATGGTACACTGTAATTTCGTGTCTAACCACAATTCTTGATAGAACGATCATTAGTACTACCACAATGAAAGTTGAGATCCAAACTGAACCTTGCAACGGTTGTAAATACAACTCGTGCGAACTTGACGTAGATTTAGGATGACGGAAGAAAAACGTTGACCTACAAGCAGTTGTCGAGTAAATTCTATGATGGTTTAGGAATTTGGAAACCTCATCACCCAGTTACCATAACCATAATCTATAACTGTTAACCTAAATGATTTGTATAAAAGCGCAGACAGTCCAAAATCCACTTCGTCATTCGCCAAGGCTCCAGCTAAACCATCCAAGACACCATCATCTTGTATAAAACCCCAAGAATTGCTACATGTTCTAATCGTCCTACAAAAATACGAATGCCACCAGCCGTAGTGCCAACAAGAAACTTACGAAAAGTTGTAAAAATCTTGACAAAGCTGCACTGCAACTACATTAAATCGACTAAACGTGTTATTATTTCTGTCTGAATGATTTCTGAGATAATCGTCCAATGACATTGTGGTATGGTATGGTATCTGCCAATAGTGAGAAGTGTTTTTAATCTCGTTAAGTTTTTCTTACCACCATTCCCGCCTTGAAGACAGTTCCGGTCATATTCTGACGTTGATAATATCTATTCCACACCAACTGGATGTTGAGACCATCCTCTTCATTGTAAAAACCGGCGTTAGTCACTTTTAGATCGCCCCCTCTTGACCTAGCTGGATTGTAAACGTCCATTATCGTCCAGTTTAACAATTTTCCAGTGTTATTAGGTACCACAACGCTAACATCAGCGTTTATGAACAAGTTGACATTCTCAAAAGTGTTGATCATCTCGTAGTTGGAGGAGAAAATTAACCAGTGGTATATGTCAAAGATAAATTTCAAATTTGCGCTCTATGACGAATAAATCTTACGAGATAAAAAGCACATACCTACTTACCTCAGCTAGAAATGGTTCAATATTTGGGCAATCACCGTCAAGGATTACTCCTATTAGATAGTCTTGTTGCGACAGAACATTCGCAAAGGTCATATTGCTGACAGAAAACATGGAAATTCGTATATCGTCATTCATGAAACGCTTCATAATCTCAATCTCTTCTAAAATTTCGCAAAGATACCGTATAATAAGTTCGTTAGATATTACCTTGTTTCGTTGAACATCCAAAGTAACTAGCCCTTTTGCAGTATTTAAATTCCAGAAACGATTTGGCTAGTGTGTACTCAAACAACGCGTGGCTAAATTGCACAGCGACTAAGAAAACTAAGACCATTAACGAGTACATTGTTAAAACACTAAAATAGAAGTTGAAGGGATGTAACCAGGTAATGCTTATATACCATTCGATAAAAACTTAAAAAAAAAGAATAGCCGCAAGCTCTAAATTATTCAGATAAAAGAAACATGTTGGACTAGTAACCTCCAGTTTTAGTAAGTAAGCCTTCTTTATTAAAATGAACACGAAACATTGTGGTTAATACAATTTTATTAACGTAGTTACACGTAATGTTCCTATTTAAGTGGTTTATTATCTACTACAAAAACACGGAGGTACTTTCAAACACACCACCGAAAACGTACGAAGCAAGATTACCTCAAAATGCACAGAATAATATTATCAACACTAAAGTTCAAATTAAAGGAGGTTTAAAATGCCCTATATTTGATTTTTTGCTCATCACTTTTGATGTAGGTACCTAGATAGGCCGATCTTGAAGATTCTGGTCGCTATTTTACCAACAATCGACAAATTTGTAACGGCCTAGTAACCAGAGCTGGGCAGATTACCTTCAAAAAGTATTTGAATACTAAAAAGTAAATACTTTACACAAATCAAAGGTATTTGAATACTAATAGTATTTTACATTATTAGCGAGGTAAGTGAGTTTTTACTGGCGATAGGAGAAGTTGACTGGCGAGCCGTCAGGCGAGCTGGTCACCTCCTAGAGCCAGTAAAAACTATTACCTGGCGTATAATGTACAATATTTTATTTGTTACTCATTTGTAAACGAAAATAATTAGTTCTTAAATTGATCTCGAAGAAATGTCTAAAACATCATGATATCCATGTAACAGAGACTTCGCATTAATTCTGGCCAATGAAATTACTAGATTACTAACTTGTAAAATTTTTACACGTCAGCTGTCAGTTTTACAAGTCAATAGCGTTTAAAGATGACGTTTACCCGTTTGCGTTTTGTCTTATTAATCAACGTTTACAACTGAGTAACAAATAAATACTTTTACGTCCAGCACAAGCGAATACTAGATACAGATACATTGAAAAGTATTCAAATAATTTAAAAAATAAGTATTTGTATTCGAATACTATAAAAAGTATTCGAATACTTTGAAAAATATTTCATTATCTTACTTTGAAAAGTATTCGAATACAGTAAAAAGTATTCAAATAGTTGTCACTCAAATACCTACATTAAAAATTTAAAATAGTATACTAGAAAAAAGTCTGAATACTACTTCAAAAATCAAGTTATACTTTGTATGGGGTTAGCTTTTTTTATATTTTTATTGTTATATACACTGCCTTTTTTTGAGGCCCGAAAAAAAATTGTCACAGATTGACCCGGAAAAAAAATTTTCTTATAGAATGTGGCATGTAGAATCCATAATTTCAAACAGTTCCAAGATTTGGCTACTACTTCAAAAGTTACAGCCCTTTGAATTTTCTTTAGAAATTGGTTTCTAGTCCATAACTTTTGATTGAGAAGTCTAATCGAAAAAGTACGAATTCTTTTGGATTCTACGCACCAAAATTAATAAGAAAAAGTGTTTTCCCGAGAAATTTTGGAGTAGTTGATTTTTGGTAAAAAATTCAAATACTATGCGAGGTATTCGAATACTTCTCAAAGTATTCAAGTACCTTGCGAAGTATTCGAATACTTTGCGAAGTATTCGAATACTAAATATTTACGAAAGTATTTGAGTTACAAATACGTACAAATACTGCTTCCATAAAGGTATTTAATTACAAAGTATTTGAATACTTTAGAGGATTTGAATACTAAAAAGTATTTACAAAATCGAATACTGCCCAGCTCTGCTAGTAACATTTACAAGAGTTGGAGACCCCTCTGGTATAAAATAAAATTGAATCTCTACGGTACTGGCAGAAATCAATTTTAATTATTCACGGCTAGCTCAGTAATAATAGTTACTTATGTATTAAAAGCATTACAGTGAGTTTATACGAGTATATTCTCAAGGGCGACGAGTTAAAAAACGAAAGAGTCTGTCTTTGAGGTATGATGGAACAAATTGGACCGTGGCTAAAGGAAGAATGGACTCCAGCATCTTCCACAACTAGCCCATTGTGCCAGAACTTATCGAACTCCTGGGAGACGTCCAAAAAGACTGAACCCGTGGACTGCTTGCGGTTGAAGCCTTCTGTCGCATGTTCGACCGGAATCCGAATTGCTTGTCTTGAATGACGCGGCTTTCCTCTGTTTGGTCCTGCAGGCTCCCCAGGATCACCGCTTCCGCTACTTTGGCGATCGCCGACAGCAGGCTGATCGGGCGATAATTCTGTGGGAACGTCGTGGACTGGCCCTGTTTCTGTAACATAATTACGTAGGCACGTTTCCACCGAGAAAAGTGCCGCAGTCTTAGCATCGCGTTCGGAATAAAAGCGAGAGCTCTTACCCCATATGTTGAGGGAGCTACTTGAGCGCCCTGTTCTCGATGCCGTTCGGTCCCGGCGCCTTTCTTGAGTTGGTATTTTTTATGGCGTCGGAAACTTCTTCTTCGGTAATGGCCCGCATCGCTTCGTCGTCTTGACGCAGGGATCTCCTGGTCCTTGAGTTGACGGCGTTAATAAAGTTTCGGTAGCTGAACCAGCACCAACCGGTCGCTTCCGCATCTCCGTTTCCTTTCGTTTATGTACTATTGCTTCCTATCCATTGATCCTTTTTTCGAACTTCAAAGGAGACACGCTCGGACATGACTTCTCTAGCCTCGATGTTATGGAATACGGTTCTCCTGCGGCTACCGGTCTCGCTAGTATGTTCCGGTATCGCCTTAATCTTTTGGCGTGCTGCAATTGTTGTACGCTTCTTTTTAGTCTATGCTTTGCGTGATTATCGTCGTCTAGTCAGCGAATGTGGCTATGGATGCTGTAGTAGCTGGGGAAGTCTGATGTGTAAATGTTAAACAAAAGGGGCCCAAGTATACTTCCTTGGGGAACTCTAGCGTGTATTGCTTTAATGTTGGATGTGTAAGAGTTTATCTTGACGGCGAGGGTTCTGTCTTCCATGAACGAGAAGATGATTGCTTGCACGTAGCTTGGTGCGTTGATATTGAGCAGCTTTTTCTTTAAGCCTTTAATCCACACCTTATGAAAGGCTTGCACCACATCCAAGAAGATAATTGTAGTATAACCATATTCTTTGGTATAACTCTTATTTTCAAATCCTTTTTCAATTTAGCTAAGTCTCTTGAGTTGATCACGAATTGAATGCCCTTTTTTGAACCCAAATTGAAAGGAAGGTTTCCACAATTTTTAGTAGTGGAATATGAATATTTTTTTCTAAGATTTTAGATGTCATAAGTAGACTTATTGGTCGATAACCCTTGATATCTTCTTTGTTTTTCCCAGGTTTAGCAAATACAAGGATGGTGAACATGTTTCCAGTTTCGAGGAAAGTAGCCAGTGCAAAGACATGTGTTAGACACTGATGCTAGGTATTTTTGTACTAGTTGTTTCAAGACTGTGTTTGGCAAAAGCTTCAGATTTTTTGCTGTCTGCACAGAGGACATCATTTCCATTAGTTAGCGTCGGTATTTTGGTATGCTGCTTCAATAATCATTTTATGGTTTTCCACATGCCTGGGTGCCGGAACCAATATCTGCAATATGTATCTTCGATATGACTCAATTCTGAATTTGTCATGTTCTTTCTTCAGACGATGTGCGAGGTTGTTTAGTAATCTTTTTACTTCAGGATTTCTGGTTCTCTGCCATTTGCTTCTGATTTTGATTTTTTTTTATTAGGCTTATTATGCCTGTAACAATTGGTGTAGTGTTCCAATCTTGAAACCGCCAAAGATTTTAGATTCTACAGGATGAACTATATGAAAAAACTGTCTTTTCCAAGGTGATTCCAAATAAGTCCTTTTGCGTCTAAATTCAAGCAAAAAAAAAGGCCGGTTTTGAATCATCTCAGCATCATTTTGGATTTTCTCTTTCTTGTTTTGTTTTTTGTTGTTCTTCATCACTTTCCACATGCTTCTATCTGATAAAAAAAACTTAAAAACGCTTTAACATCTTTATTAAAATCTGTTCACTTTTAATCCTGTCAAGTATATCATTAATAATAATAATGTTAATCTTCAATTAATGTTTAAACAAAAATCACAAATTAGTTAAGTTCGTAAACTAATTTGTGCATATTTGAATACATATTATTTGGTTTACAATGACTAGCAATCTTATAATTATGTAATTATGAATAATAAAATAATTGTAATAAATGCAATATGAATTTTACATAATATACCATTCGCATTCAGTCTTATAATAATAATAAAAGATAGGTAAGTCACGATCCATTTACACTTTTTACAATTTGAACATACTAGACAATTTGTTTAATACTTGAATAAATCTAAGTCTTTGTTCTTTTGGTACATTTTTAACAAGAAACTTCGCTGGATCAATTAACTGCTTAGATGAGATCACTAATAAATAACGGTAAATCTCAAATATGCGTTGCAGTTACTTGATCGGCGAAGGTAACTCTTTTCTAGCTAGGCTGTGGAGGTACTAATGGTGGCTGTTGGTGAAGAACACTGATTGGTCGATTATTGGGAGCTTGTAAACGTCTCGTTTCGCATGCTTCGCCATGAAGAACTTCTAGATACTCTCTGATTAAAGTAGCAATTTGGAAAGCTTGGGCCGTCGTAAGAATGACTTTGCTTTGTTTTCGTTCGCTTCCTGTTATTATCATAAGACAGTTCAAAGCTGGTGCGAAGCTCAATATGTTTGAATATTCGTAGGTACACAAAGCGTTGCGAGATCTATGTTCGAGTAAATGTAGACCACTTTGATCCACCGCTAACCATAACACTCTAGGCCAGTTGGAGGTAAACGATTGCTAAAATAATCCAGCGTTTATGAAAAAAAAATGATTGTAAAAATAAATCTGTTACCATAACGTCGAAAATTGTCGCTTTGTGAAGAGGCCAACTTTGAATCAAATTTAGAAAGGCCTGCTTCGCTTCTGATGCCGTCATGCCGCGCAACGATTGGTGGTGCATAATCACGCCCTCTTGTGGAATGGACGGTACTAGTCGTGGAGGTAGGCAATGGCTGGCGATAGGCCGATAATCGGGTACAAGATCGGTGCAATCTCCTAATTCTAATTGTGCTTGTAGCGCCGTTAACATCATCTGTGATTTACAAATACATTTCCTTAGGTACCATCAGAAATGTTTTCAATCAATGTTAAATGAAATATAACAATTTTTGAAACAAGGTGTTTTTGTGACCCATTTTCTCCAGTTCCCCTTACCACCATATATGAATGATAACAGGAACTTAATCAATATCCATGTCCAACCCTTCACTAATAGAGTCTCACTACCCACCTCCAAGCAATGAAAGTGGATGCATGAGATTTTGTGCATCTTTGTATGAGAGATGAAGAGAAAAGAATAAGGCGTTTGGCAACCTCCCACGGATTCAGAAGGACCGTCTTCCAAATGGAACCTCTTAGAGCTGACCAGCTGGGAGTAGCAGTAATCTCCTATAGCAACATAGTCCAGGCTAAATAGCTCTAAAATAATTTATTTTCAAAAAAAATTAGTTAATAGAAATGGGGTCATCCCGCCTTCATTTTTTATTTCTGATCCACAAAGTACATTAAAAATAAAAAGACCCGTGTGTCCTCAATTTTTATTTGCGAGTAAAATAAACCCAAAATAAATTATTGAAAAGCTGTGTTTTTAGTCCGAATTTGAAACGCTTCCGACTAAATACGTCACAAACCTACAACCAATCACGTAGAAGTGAGTTGGCAACCTTACGCGAGGGTCTGACGTTTGTCATATTTGACGTTTTGAGTGAGATGTTTAACTGCATCTAGCACGAAAGTGACAAGTGCCTGTGACAGATGACGCAAGTTATAAATGCCATTCTCCTGCAACATTGCCAAGTCGTTATGTCATCTGAATGGTTCTAGGAGCTGATTGGTCGGGCTTATTACGTCACAGAGCCCGCCACAATCATATCGTTTTGAATAAACCTTTAAAACCGCACATGTTCATTATTTTTTTGCTAATCACCCTCTATTTTTAAATAAACTTTTACTGTCCAAAAAAATGTTTTATGGTTTCAGGTACACGCTTATTAAATTAGAACTGCGGAATTCAACTATACTGTAAACCCCCATTGGAAAAAAATAATTAAAACAGCTGAATTTTTCCGCGGGTGAAATCACGGGGGTTGATAGGGGTGGAAAGTGGTGTTTTGAAAATTGTGGCAAAACTATTAATTTTAGACGAAAATGTTAAATGTAAAAGTTATAGAGATTGAAAAAATGAGCAACTTTTGTATCTCACTATTTTCACATAACCTCCAATTTTCCTAGAAAAACCGGAAAAGCTGTTTTTTTTCGTTTTTTATTCTTATTTTTGCGAAAAAATGTCGTAGGGGTTTGAAATTTGGAGAACACATAGCTTGTTTTATGATAAAAAAGAAGATACTTTTTGGGGCCTGTAAAGTTGAACCGTTTCCAAGATCTCACGATTTCTGAAAAAAACCACCTATTTTTCAAGGACATGAAAAATCTATTTTTTTTCATCGTACAGAGGTGCGCGGGGTAGCAAAATTTTCGTAACGACTTACATTTTAATAATCAAAAATAAAAAATATTATTCCAATAGAAAAATTTTAAGAAAAGCGGCAAAAACCGAGGGAACAGTTTTAAGGTATATCGTTTTTGACCGTAGGTAAATAGCTTTTTTTGCAAATAAATTAACGTATTGGATCCGCGCTAATAAAAAGTTTATGAAATCTGTCTTCTCACCCCTCTTTAATGTTACTAAAATATGTTCTTTTATTTCCCAGTGCCCAACTGCCTAAATTAAAACATCTTTATTATTTTTTTTTCTGCATTTTTGCCGCAATAAAAGCAATTCGAAGTAAAATAGAATTCTTTTGCTTCCTGAACAATTTGTTTTTGTTCAATAACTCTTCTTCCTCCCTGTTTTACAGCTGATGGGATTAAGCTGGCCCTGTTGATCGTTTTACAGGAATTATGGATAAAACCCTCATAAAGTTTATTCCAGGTTTTACATCTCAAATCATTTGGTTTGGTCAATGGCCGGAAAAACTAACGTTCTTATTTCAAATTTTACAAGTTTGCAACAGGCCCAACGCAATTGCATCAGCTATAAAACAGGCAGGAAGAAGAGTCAGTGAACAAAAAGAAATTGTTCAGGAATCAGGAAGCAAGATAATCCGATTTTATTTTGAAATTGAATTGCTTTTATTGCGGTAAAAATGCAGAAAAAAGAAATAATAAAGGTGTTTTAACTAAAACAGTTGAACATAAGATAACAAAAGACAATATTTAAGCAAACATTAAAGAGAAGCAAAAAGAAAGATTTCGAAAAAATCTTTATTAACATCTAATATGTTGATTTATCATATCAAAAATCATGTATATCTTAAAACTGTTTTTCCAATTTTTGGCGATTTTCTCGAATTTTTGCTATAGGAATAATATTTTTTTATTTTTGTTTTTTGAAATATATATCTTCCCGAAAATTTTGCTACCCCGCGCACCTCTGTACGATGAAAAAAAATAGATTTTTCATCTCCTCGAAGAAGAAGTGGTTTTTTTCAGAAATCGTGAGATCTTGGAAATGGTTAACTTTACAGGCCTAAAAAATTATCTTCTTTCTTATCATAAAACAAGCTATGTTTGCTCCAAATTTCAAACCCCTACGACATTTTTTCGCGAAACTAAGAATAAAAAACGAAAAAAATAGTTTTTCCGGTTTTTGTAGGAAATTGGAGGTTATATGAAAACAGTGCAGATACAAAAGTTGTTCATTTTTTTAATCTCTATAACTTTTACATTTAACATTTTAGGCTATAATTAATAGTTTTGCCACAATTTGCAAAACACCACTTTCCACCCCTTTCAACCCCCGTGATTTCACCCGCGGAAAAATTCAGATGTTTTAATTATTTTTTCCCAATTTCTATTTGTCAAAAAATATTATATAGCCTGGACTAACAGCTATTGCTCCAAATCCAATCTCAACCACGGCGAATCAAAAACTACCTGGTGGTACAAAGAACTGGAAAAGCAAGAGAGGAATTCTTCTCCTTTTCAACAAATCAAAAACCACGTATTGAAAAGCTACCACAAAGCGTAAATAGAGTACAGCAAACATAAAGGTAGCTCAGACAAAATTTTGGAGGAGATATTTTACGGGACATCGAATCAACTCGAGAAATGGTGGTTTTTGTCAAACAAAGCAAACAATGCACACTGTGGCTACCCTAAAAAAATCAAGAATACAGGGCGTGATATACAACGACATGTGGTTGACCTACTTCCCCTCCTGTACCACATGCCAAAATGCCGAGGACTGGAACAGAGCTAGAAAGGTGACAGGTAGTAAAAGTAGATTCTTTTGCAAGACAACAAACCTTCCATGAGACCAATACTGCACTCCTGTGAACTCCCTCTATAGACAGTTGCACCCCTAATCTAATACCCCGCATCTTAGCACATGTGATTTTGACTTTGATTTTTTGTTTTGGTATCCCTAACAGATGGGTAGCATTTTCCGCAAAAAGAAAACTTGAAATCCGCGAATAGAATTGATTACTATGCTCATTGTGCTGGTGTCGTTACTACAAAACTGTTTCACTTCTTTAAACATGTAGTTTGTTGCAGGGTCAGCGGTTAGGCGGTAGTATATCAGTAGATGTGGAGGATAATTGGGGACAAAACAAGTGTCTACTGGGCAAACTAAATTACAAAAAATCGTTTTAAAGAGCACAAGGGTTACTGTAAATGTTAATAACCACCCATGAGCCTAGAAAAAATTTTTACTTACCGCCTCTTTATCTGTGATAGGGAACCTATCCGCGCGAAGGTCGTGTAAAACTTGGTGATAAAGCAATTCCTTTTCAACAGGATCGGATAAATTAAGAAAACTGTCCAAGAAGAGATGCTTCTTAAAAAGGAAGAAGTGATATTGAGGCCGAGTACGTTTGGCTGTTCCAGTACTGTTTACAGTATTTGCAGCAGTTGCCATCCTGTATCTTTCCCATTTGGCCATTACATCCGCCACTTTTTCCTCCCCCGATAAACTTCTCTCAGTGCTTCCCAGAACCTCGTAAATGGCGTAACCTAAAGCGGAACAATGTAAACTCAGCCACACGAAGCAAGGAAATACCTTTCGCATCAGACTTAAGCCCGACCTTATCCCTGACAATTTCCAGGACATCCCGCGCGGTTGCCGAAGGATGAAATTCAACAGAATGGTACTGACCATCCATAAAATGAAACCTTGCATATACCGGACGTCTATTTATAGTGCAAATAATCTCCTCCCTCGATGGTGCCCACTGTCTTCGGCGAGTACCTTGAGTTTTCGACAGACACTTCTCCGCAAATCGCGCGTACTTCCCCTCTTCTGTCACGTAATCCGAACTGCACCTCTTCAAATGGGCGATTAAGTACCTACGAATAGTTTTACTAGGCGGCAGCACCACTGAGCAGGCCAACGAGAGTAGAGCCCAATGGCGTAAATTTACTCTGGAATTGGGATCGGGGTGATCAGTCGTTTGTTTTATTAAAAGTAAATATAATTCGCACAGGAGAGACTCTTTTCTCATACAGCGTTCCAATATTGACTGTAGTAGCGTTACATGTTCATCCTCCGCTCGCCGAATTACTTCACCTAAGGGATAGTTAATGTTAACTGGCGAAATTATTAGCATTCTTTATTCTTAGATGGTTATTCCACCGCAGAGCTGTCACTTGAAGGAAGATTCAAATCCTGTTTTCTATTAAAATCATAATTATAATTTCAATCAATGCAATAAATCGCGTAGGTTAGTGCTCGTAACCTTTAAAATTATTTAATTTAGAACTATTGAAATTGATAAAAGTTCTTTGCAGAAAGTATTAACAGCACTTTGGTATAATGTCCAAGTAATTGAAAACTTAAGTGAAACGCTATAAGTGACTAAACAACGTTACCACGAAAACCTACCATTTTGTCCTAACCCAGCATACGTAAGTATCACTTGAAAGACTTGAAGCATAATTTGTTCTTCAGCTTCAGGCATTCGACTGATACTTTGCGAAAGCGGTTGTCTGCTAAACGCCCAAAATGCGTAATGAAAACCCTTGTACGTCTCTCCGGAGTCTCCACCATGCTCTTGTCGTAGTTTATCCAATTTATGCTTACTGAGCCTTCTTAGAGTGTTACGTATAAAGTTACTGGCCGCGTCTGTTGGTTTGCGCAAGATATCGTTGTCAACAAGCGCGCGTCTGCAGTTTACCAAATTGTGATACAGCCGAATTCGGTCTTCGTTCGTAATACTTTTAAGTTTCTTAGGTGGGGCGTCGTTTTCGGTGATCCAACCGGCGAGATTAAGACAGTAGCTGGCAATCAGTGAGCCAATTTCATTTTTTTGAGTAGTTTCAAACACAAAACACTTGTGGTTGCTCTCATTTAGGTGTCTTTGTAAAGTGAGCGTGATAAAACTATCGCTAGGGTCTATGAGTATACTTTCCACCTCCTGATATCGATACTCATTGATCACAAATTTATCATCGGGTTTAATAAGCATGACGCCTTCGTTGTTTATGCCGAGTATTAGAGAGTTCCCATATGACCAATAACCACGGTAAGTAACCGGAAACATGGTACTACCGTAAAGGGGGTATTGCATTACGCAGGAAAGATACAAGGCTTTTGCTGTCAATTCCGAACGCCCAGCACCATACTGAACGTGCGCTTCGGCCAAAATAGGTACCCACACGTCATCACCTCGAGTACGACTTATTCGATACGGTAGGAAGGTGTCAATGTCAGTGTAATACTCTAATTTGTTATTATCTTTCGGATTTCCTAACGCCACTTGTGCCTGTAGACCAGCCAGTTGCAAAGCCACCTTTTCGGTCACCGGAAAATCATCACTCTGAAAATGAAAATTACTCTTTAATAATTTGTATTATACTTTGTTTTATTTTAACCTAGGGATCAATAATAGACCCTTTGACTAGAGACTTTCGCCAACATTTCCTTCTTGATAACCAGTCTACGATACCTTTCTATTACAGAACTATCAGAATCATCGCTAGTTTCTTCAAGTTCCACAGGCGCTTTATATGGTTTTATTTCGTAGTGACAACTATATTCCTCAGCATAGTGTAAAACGTTGTCTACAGCCTGTTTAAGGTCGTGAATACTTTGTGAAAGTTGTTTACTTTGAGTTAATAATGTGTCCGTTTTTTCTTTCGCGTTATTAATGCAGATATCTATTTTTTCCTTTGCGAATTCAACTGAATCGGAAGTCCACGTTTTAATCTTTGTTGCATCCATTATTTGCGGTCGAGATATGAGTATTGCTTGTAATTCTACTTTTGATTTTTAAAATTTGTTTCCATACTGAGAATTTTAAAATTTGACAGATAGGTATTCAATTTAGGTGTGTTGATTTGTATATTGTGTAGGGAATAAAAATTGGAAAAAAAATTTGCTGTGGCTAGCATAGATTCCACCCGCACCAGGGACGGACCTAGACAAAAAAATCGGGGGGGCAGACATGACATTTTGCCAACTCAACTGTAAAAATTTCCAACTCAAACGGGTAGTATCTATTAAGTATTAATGGTATTTCCAAGTCTAATAAATCATGTAGAAAATGTAAGATATCAGTATACGGTCTCTAATACTAATTAAAAGCATTACCAAAATACCAACCTTGTGTTGAAGAAGAACGAAGTGAGTTTCCTATTAAAGAGTCCTTTTTTATAGATTTTGCCGCAATTTCTCATTCCTTCAATAGTCGACTTATCACATTTACGAGTTACCTACTTTCGCGGCATTCGCCAACTGGTAATAAAAATTACCAACTCTTGTCAAAATTGCCAACTAGTTAAGTATTGGAGGGGCAGCCTGTCCCCCCTTGCCCCCCCCCCCCATAGGTCCGTCGCTGACCCGCACACCTGCGTATGCGCGATTCTGCCGATTTATGTCTAAGAATATGTGTACCAAATTTGGTTTAAATCGGTTCAGCCGGAAATGAGAATACAGACAGATAGACCGACCGACAGATCGATCAACATAATCAAGATTTTGCTTGATTCGGATTCCTGGTGCTTCAAAACGTGTTTTTCCATGAAAAAAGTGGGGTGTTACTTTTATTATATTCAATGCTTTTTTATCTTTCTGTAAGATCATGTACGATTCCTAGTTAAAAATTCAATGTACCGACTTCTATAGATTCTGATATGTATGAGAGTATGACTTTTGTATATAAACACAAGCACTCTCTATATAAACGCGACCTAACTGCAACGCATTTCGGTGAGCACGGCTACAGAGTAACCAAAAGCCTCGCCAAAAGCGTATAAAACACCCAAGAGAAACATACTTACTTTGACTACACTATGTACTGCTTGGGCATAAAGTAAATTCACTTCAACAGGATCTTGACTTAATTCCCGTATGGTTTTAAACAACCGTCGTTTAAATATAAACCTATTCTCACCACCAGTCAAAGTAGCACCACTTCTTCGTCCCAATGACGCCAAACCGCCAGAAGGGACGAGTTTATTTTGATTCCTAAAATACGCACACATAATTTTAAATTAAAATCTTTAACGAACTTACTGTTGCTCCCACGCTGCTATAACATCATACAAGAAATAGTGTGCACGTACATGCTCCTCTCCATCGGGTCGACTCTGATAAATCGCCCAACCATCCAACGTGCGCAACCCTAATCTTTCGGCTAACTTACGCGAGGCGTCACCTGCAGTATCGGTCGGGTGAACATCAATAGCCTTGGTGCGACCATCCAGGAAGAAGAAACGGCAAACGATCGTGCCTAGTCGTTTCATCGCCTTAAATAATAAAATTAACGAATTGATGTAGAAATTAAGTAAACTTACAGCGACTTCAACAGACGAAGGCGGGTGCTCTCTAACTTTTACTCGGCTGTTATTACAATTATCAAGACACCATTGCACGTATTGCGCAATTCTTCCAGTTTGGCTCGTATTCTTTCGCAAAAACGAGATGAAGTAGCGTATCAACAATTTTGAAGGTTGGAACGAAACAACGCACAGACAGAGCAACAGCCAAACGCGCTCGGCCCAATCGGGCTGAGGATTATTGGTAGCCTGCCGTACACATTGGACCAAGATCTCATCACGCAACTCCTCCCTCTCAAGCGCGTAACCGATGATGCTTTGTATAACGGATAATTCCCGTTCAGGATTTAATTCGCCGCGAATGTACTTGCAGAGATCCTAGTGACATAAAATAAGAGTCTTTTGAGTTCCATTTTAACTTACCCTAAAAACAGTGCAGGCTACGTTTACGTTATCGGGGTCGTACATGTGAATATGGGAGTTGGGGATGCTATTCCCTTTATAATATGTGACCATTTCGTACTTGGGAATCATTTCGGCGCTTTGGCGTTTCCGCGTCAGGGTTGCCATGATTGTACCTTCGGGGCTGCGTTCGTGCGCGTTAAAGTAGTTTTGGGCAAACTCAACCATGTCATGGTATGTGTCTTCGGTGGTGTTTTCTTTTTCCCTAATGTCGTTAAGCTCTTGCAGTTTTTTCTCGACACGATGCTTTCGTCTTTGCTCACGTTCAGGGTTAGCTTCTTGTTCTTGATACCGCCATGATTGTGGCTAAATATAACAGAATACAGGTTAGGTTCCAGAACTAATTTTGGTTTGTTAGAGAACGAAAATGCGAGGGCTTTTTTGCTGGCTAACTATGCAGGAAACCGCTTCAAAAAGACTTATTTCCCCACCTAACTATTTGACATATGAAAAAGTCGATTTTTTGACACTCTAAGGGGACCTATGCGTAAAACGACGCGACCTTCCTTCCGAACGCTCCAACTTTCCCCGTTTTTGGGCTAGCGACTTCGCTGATAGAGGAAGGATCGTAATGTCAGGATTAAAATTGGCATACACGTAGCTCAAGCGGTTCCGGTACAGCCTCTTCCCATAGTTAGAGGAGAAAGTGGGAAGGATGAGCGTGCATTTGGGTCCTCCAGGTTCTGAAGAAATGTGGCGTCACATTAGGGGTAGCGCTATACCAGAACTGGAAGTGCCACGTGGCCCAAATTTATACACCACATACATACCATATATCAAAAAATTAAGTAAAGAAAAAATCCTTCCCAAAATGTTAATACTATAAAAATAAAACTACTCACCCCAGTACTGCTACAGCGAGAAACTGGTGGACTCTGTTTTGGCGATTCAACAGGTAATTTCGGAGGCGCCGGTAGAGGTGGTGGTGAAACGCAAGTAGCATCATCACGTGGAAGAACAGCTTCGTAAATCGGTTCACTGACGTCGGTCTTTTCTTGAACAATGGGTACTTCAGTCGAAGGAGGCGGAGGAGGTGGTTCAGTAGGTTCGGGCAGGGTTGGCGGACCTAATTTCGGCGCAAGCTGTTGTTGCTGTTGCTCTTGAGCCAGACCTTCCAGTTCTTGTTGAATTACAGTTTCCAATTCCACATCCAAGTCTTCTACAAGCTCGTCCATTTTCTCGCCAATTTCGTCGATTATTTGATTGCGGCTAGGTTGCACATCGGATAAAAACGCGAAGAGGTTGTCCAAATCGACTGCTTCGGTGGTTTGCTCGGTTAAGCGCGGTTTCAGTTGCTCGGCCATGTGGGACAACGTGTCGATTTCTTTTTGTGCGGCTTGCTCACTTTGCTCCAATTCAAGCTGTTTCTGTTCCCGCTCCGCTAACTCCGCCAATTCGGCTTCGCGTACTCTCCTCTCCTCCTCCAACTTCTCCCGCTTACGCATTTCCTCTTCAACCCGACGCATCTCACGCAAAGCGGCCGCAACCTCCCTCGCGAACACCCCACGCAAATGACTTTGAATAATAATCGCAGCTCTACGCATTTTTAGGAATTGTATGCGCTGCTTCCAACCACGATAGGCATGCTGTAGCTGAAGACTCGCCTTGCGTATCTGCAAATAATTCTTTCTCGCGACGTACATCCTGTAAGTCCTTTGAATTAACACCGCCTTTGCTATGATCATTTTATTTCGTGCATCTTCAATCGGATCGTGTGCATGAGGTCTCAGGAATATTTTACTTTTCCCCAACTGCCACTCGGTTTTTGGAATATTTAACGTTTCTATTATATTTTTAGTTGCAGTGACAACATCGTTTGGAAGACGTCCTCGATACAGGCAATAATATCTAACTACAAAATCTTCATATTTCATATGAATTGGAAACCCTTCTTTTCTTATTCGAATAATATCTAACATTCCTAAATATTTTAACTGGTCCAATGTCAAAGACTTATCGTAGTTGTTGGGGTACTTGAAGGCATTCGGTTTGATGCAACGTACATACCAAGAGGTGGTAGATTGGAGAACGTCAACTAGCGCTTGTAATTGGTGACGAAATGTGTCTGAAACTGTTGGTTTACCTTTACTGGTACCTCTTGACACTGTCGCGTTACCAGAACCTAAAAATGAAGTTCTCTTATAATTTATTTATTAATTATACTAAGAGAATTTTATGTTTAATGAGCTAAATATGGAATACATCTAACAGAAGTAGCAGTCTGTGACTCATCATCCAGTCTTGATCTTATATAGTTCGGTGGCCATAGTTAATAAATCGCAAGTCTAACGGCATTTAATGAGCCATTTTGGAAACGTGCGTTTATAAGGGTAAAAATGTATGCTGAACCCGAATTCGGATGTTGCCAAGCTGATTTTTGGCTAATTTCAAAATGGCGGCCAATATGGCGGCCAAATATATAAATTTTTATGCCAGACGCATTTTACATAATTTTTCAGATTGAGGTGTTAAAAAACATACAGGCGGCACAGAAAATAGCAAAACTTATATATTGGGTACATTATACAGACAACACGGTAACAATATAGAGATAATTCTGACGGCAAATGTATTACCTATATTTCGTTCAAAAATTTTAACAGAACTTAAATTTTTTCATCATTCTGCTCATTTTTTTACGATTGAAGCAGTCGCCAAGACACTTGTAGATATTTGTGCACTTTTAGTTCATAGCATAATTTATTTAAAGCCAAGTTTTTAGGAGGACTAGTCTGACCATTCGATTTTTCAGTGTCTCTTATCGCATTTGCGAGACAATATGTATGGTACAAAATGTCCCCGGCAACAGCATCATGAGAACATACAACTCTACGCCCTTCTGTACCCACTGCACCCAATGTAAATTTCCATAAGAACGTCCGCCTAAAAAAATTTCAAAAATAAAATTTTATATTAATAATATGTAAATTTTATATTTTATAACTTTAGACCTTTATCTACACAAAATGTTTGAAATATTTTTTTAAAAAAGTTTATAGCAACTGAATATCGGCTGTTTAAAGGTTAGATATTTTGCATCGATTATTGCGCTAACCTGTTTTATTGTTTTACTCTCGATCAAGACGATTTATGGAAAAAGTAAACCGACAGTTTTCTAGATAAGTTACTTCTGAACATTACCCCAAAAAATGAAATCATATTTTTTGTAAATAAAGTCTGTATCTTGGCGGGCGGTAAATAAACAATTTGAGTGTAGCAAGTGGCGCCGCTGCACTGTGTCGGCGGGAACCGAGGGGTAAACCATCTAGTTAATTCGGTGTACAAATAGTAGTTAATGAATTAAAATTAACTTTTAATGTAGTTAATCTTCGGTAAATGCAGTTAATTTCAAGTTAATTCAGTTAATCTAAGTTAATGTGGTTAATGCTAAGTTATTGTAATTAATTTACATTTAATGCCATTTAATCCTACTCGAGATACTACTATAGGTAGTGGCTAGGCTATAGCATGTGAAAAACCAAATTTTGAACCTGGTGTTAGATTTGCATTTATTCCAAGTGCCTATGTATCAAATTTTATTTAAATACTTTCATAAATAAAAAAGTTTGCAATTCAAAAAGGGCACTGTGAATGTAGGCCCAACTTTTGGCATTGCGTATTATATGGCTAAAACTATGCCCTCGACTATATATGACCATATTGAATTTCATGCAATTCGGTTTATAACCAACGGAGATATCAAAAGGGCCTTCTTTATTTTTTTACATACATTGCCAATTCACGAACTCCGATCTATAACTCTGATAAAGAATCCAAATGAAAAATTTTATCATAATCGGCGGTCCATTCGTTTTCGAGGTATCGTGCTAATGAACAGATCTCGGGACAGATGGACAGGCACCGCAAAATTATAAACTCTCTACGTCTTAGGAGATTGTCGATAATTTGAAAATGTTGGTTATTTAAAATATTCTTGCTATAGTGTTTTATAAAGAATTTAATAACCTGTCATATTATGTAATAATACACAGGGTGTTCCATATCAAAGTCACATTTTTGTTATCATCTGAAAAATGCAATGTGCTTTTGTTTTTTTAATTGCCGATTTGAATTCATTGGAAAAAATACGCAATTTTTATTTATATATATTTATATATGTAGTTGGAAAAATTTAAATACTTACCAACGGTTCTTAAAAAGCACAAAATTTGCAAAGGAAAATGTAAAACACTAATTTAATTAATTCACAGCTTTTTTGGGACACTCTATATATCACCACAGGATATATTTTCCTACATTTTCCGAACTAGCTATGAAGTTAATTAACCAACTCTTACGTATATATAAGTAATAAATTATGGAAAACAATTTAATACTAAATAGTACACAATACAATAGATAGTGGCGCCATCGTGCTGTATTTGTGAACTAGTGCAAAATTCGGCCTGGCAACATCCAGAATCGGATTCAGCACATTTTTTTACATCTAAAAAACCATGTGGCCAAAATGGCTCATAAAATACCGTTAGAACTAAGAAACAGAGTCGTTTTTCGATTTGGCCACTTAACTAATAGTATAATTTGTATGGTTTGATCATTGTATATGTATTACAAGTACGCCAAACAAAGAGACAAGGAAACAAGGAACGCAAAAGCGACACCGGTCTGATGGCAGCACCTCAAAGGAAGTAGCTCAAAAAAAGGAAAAACTGGGCCGTCCTTATGGATAAAACTTCCTGGACCAAGAAGGAGGCTACTTGCATGCACCGACCCTATATGAACTTCACCAGGGTGACGTTCAAACTCCTCTCCAAGACGAGGGTGGAGGGTGAGGATGTGACAAGCATGGAGTGTCAAGAGGCCACAGCAGTTGACGGGCCCTCCGGGGCACCACAACCAACTCTGCCAACTACCGCCCTTCAGTAGGTAAGCCCAGTTTTATTATTGTCTTTATGTTAAAACTAGCACAAATTACTCTGCATACATGCATAAACATGATATTGATGTAGACCTGGGTAATATAAGATCTGGAACTAATAGGAGCACGGCTCATTACTGAGTCCACTGAAATCAATCCCAGAACATGCATCTTACCTAAAAATCACGTTAAGTTATTACCACTATGGGAATTCTGTTGTAGAGATCTTCCTTACTATCAATTTATCCACCACCAACCATAATAGAAGTTAGCAAACTGGTAGAACACTGTCAGCGGATACTGTATGAGGCAGCACCGACATAAACAAAGGAGATTATATTATGATCAATAATCTATAGAGATAGCTAATGTAAGCAATGAGCCAACCTTAGTCAATAATCAAAGAAGAGACGTAATTAACATGTTTAGAACCAAGTTTGAAACTGTGACTGCCGGCAGCTCAGTACAGAAATGGCATTAATGTGTCGCAAGAGCCATCACTATTTGACCATAGATATATTCGTTTTCACATTGGATCAAATGAAGCGGCTGTTTATATAGAAATCCGAGAACAACCAACTGTTATATGTATGGTTACTTAATTGGAAATGTAATCATATAAAAAAAGTAGTGTACCACCCTTTTCGGACCTTCGTGTTACATACGGCTCTTACCTTCAACTCTAGCAGCATTTCCCAGCAAATCTTGATACTTCGATAAGTCTTTCACATATTCATTACTACTTCTAGAGATCACATCAAAAAATACATCTTGTTGAACATCACGATTTTTATCTACAATTCCTTTAACCTTATAAATTACAAGTCCAGCATAATGTTTGATTCCAAATTCCGTCTCCCACCTTCTTCTATCTTCACCTATACAAAAATAATATAGAATGGAAAGTTAACAATTTCCACTTACCCTTAACATAATGCTCGTGATTTTCAAATTCCGCATGTAAATTTGTAATATACGACGAATCACAACCTTTTGGTAAATGGCATTGTTCTGATAGCAACCTTAAAACACAACGGGGTGGCTTCTCTAACAATTCTAAGCATAAAGTATTATCGGTAAAACTTATGTGATTATAATGTATAGCTTCCTGTTGATACTAAAATTCACACTTGTTTAGAATCGGCCGATTTGCTCATATGCAACTTACAATATCTTGCTCCAAAGCAAACACGTAATGGTTAAAGAATTTGTGCAACTTTTCGTTTGTGTAGTTGATACAAAGTTGCTCGAAGGAATTCACTGCGAAGTTTTCGAAACCAAAGATATCTAACACGCCTAGAAAACTTGTATCGTTCTTTCCTGGATTGGTGCAGGTGTTTATGTGATTTATTAACCACGCAAATGTTCTTGAGTAGAGAGCTTTTGCCATTGCGTGCCTGTTTTCTCTAGCCTAGAACAAACAACAGCTTATCTTCCATCTCTACCTTTTCCAGTTGTCATTTAGGAAGTAGGTATTAATTGCAATTGCCAGTAAGAAAATAGAAAATGGAGCAAAAGCTATCAATGAAAGGATGACCAAGTTATATGGTGTTAATGGGTCATCTTATTTTCAAGTAAAATATTGGTCGAAACAATTTCTGCCTGCGTCTGTGCCTACTTGATGCGATTCCTCAACTACTTACACCAGAGCAGAAACTGGCGAGGAAAGAAATTTGCAAAGAGTCTTGGGCGCGTTGGCGAGCGATGCCTACTGAATACATGGCAAAAAGGACCCTGATTTGTTCCAACATCTAAAAAATATCTCAAGGGCCGAAAATTTGTCTCAAATGATTACCTGAAAAGCGCAGTAGCTTCGCTTTTTGTACTGCAAATAATAATTTTTTTAATGGAATAATATAACAGCTGGGAAACGCTGCAGTAAATTTAGATGGTAGAAAATGAAATAGTCAAAAACGTAATATCTTTTGGTTTTAAGGCAATGGTAGTCACAAAACAACAAGAGGCAGTTCTAGAGGTTAAATCTTTGCGATTGCCGTCAAAGGCGCTGTGCAGCGCCATAGCTACTTACTTCTTGTAATTTTAACGGTATCTCTGTAATATTCCCTCGAACATTAATTTGACGTACTAGAACCACTTGATTTAAATTTTCTATATCTAATCCTAATAAGTTCGCTACTATTTCTAAAATATTGATATCACCCTGAGTCAACTGACACCTTTCACCATCGACATCCTAAAATTGTAACAAATCAAACAAATTCCATACAAAAGCGCAAACTACCTGAAACGTAAGATTTCCCAACCAGAGAATAGCGGAAAGTGTCTGAAAAATTCCATTGCACATAGCTGGAGGAACTTGTAAAACATTAAATGCTAATCGTAAATTATCTAGACGTTTCGCGTCTCCTTCCATTTTAATGTAACCCGATTGGTTTAAATAATTATAAAAATCTGCGTCTTTGAGACACAATTGGTTTGCGAGCTCCTTGTTGTGCTGAAACAGAATGATAAGTAACTCTGGAATTATAGGCAAGAAACATACTTTAGCACCTTCGACTAACTGGTAGAATACGTGATAGTTTCTCTCACCAGGCCCTTGAAAAGTAAGCCTAGATTGTTCTAATAAATAATCTTGTATTATACAGCCGGCAATCATCGAACGTGAATCGAAGCAAACTTGCATAAATTTACCAAACCTACTTGAATTATCATTACGGACCGTTTTCGCATTTCCTAAAACCCAAGATCAGTCATCAATTTCGCTTTCAGTGTTGAGTAAATACCAAACGCTTCCAAAATGGTATTCGCTTCTAGAATTTGTTGTTCGACCCAAGCAGAAACGCCGCTCGTAACCGAACATAAATATTGCAAAATAAATCTTGTGTTTTCCGTTTTTCCTGCTCCGCTTTCGCCGCTAATAACTAAACTTTGATTCATGGTGCCGCCGCCCGGTTTACCGCGCCGTAATGAGGAGTACGCCGCTTCTGCCAACGCAAAAACGTGCGGTTCCAAACTTCCCATTTTCTTTCCATGGTATCTGCTGATGTAATTCTGTAAAGAAAAGAACAAATTAAAAGATGTTCCGAAAGAACGGACTATTTATACGCATCATAATCATCATATAAGCACACATATATCCCTCCCCCCCCCCATTTTAATCATTTTAAATCCCCTAAACCTCTGATCTGTACAATAATATCCATAAAATCAAATTTGGATGGTCTGATAATTAATTTTGAAACAAGTTAAAAAAGTCTCTGAGGCGCCATCACTAGACTTAAGCGCATATTTGATGTGGCTAATCAGTAGGTTTGAGCATGAGGAAGTGACGCAAGAATAACTGAATTGTGCTTATATGTACATTATCTAATGTTGAAACGCTGAAGGATCTACGACATTCCGCTACAGAGATCTCCACCGATTTATTTGAATGATCATTAGATCCACATTCACTTTTTAGGTAGCCATAGGCTATGTACAGTCATTGACAAAAGTAATCATCGCTGAATAGTCCTGCAGCATACACAACCAACATATATTGTGTAACTTGGAAATCAAATTAACGTATCTTCTCCTTGAGGAACCGACGGTTACTTATGCTGCAGAGTTTATCTATTAGGCGATCATTACTTTTGATAATGACCGTACATTTTCGACAGAAATTCTTAGTATTTGCATAGGAGTAAAGGCATTTGGCTACCAGTAAAAATTAAAAGGGCACGTGACGGAAACGGATAAAAAGGAGGTTATAAGAGTGGGGGGAAACGCGTCACCATTGCCATTGGCGTAATAAAACAAAACTGACATCTTCTAGCTATTTGGTCAGTTTAGGCAACGAACACTACACCTTACGGATGCTATACGAATGGGCCACAGCGTAGGTATTTCCTTATTGCTTTTCATCACTACATACCTAATAGCATGAATACCTCATATGTAATAAACTAATAAGCAATTATTATATAGTACGAATAGGTATAATTAGAGATATTATTCAATTTTCACATTCTGCTCAATATAATAGGCTATATAATTAAAGCAGACCAGAACACGTATTAATAGCCTGGGGAGTAATTCCGCCAAATGCATATATTCATTTGAAGTTGTGTGGGAAGTTAAATTGCTAGTAATATTTGCATTCAGATTTTTAATGATCGGTTTTTTACATTCGTTCTACTTTTCAGCTCTCTCACCCCTCTTGGGGGTTCAGAAGCAAAAAAAACGCAGTCATAGTTAAAGACAATTTGAATAAATCCAATAAACACCTAATTCCAGTATACCAAAAGTAATAACAAATTCTATTATTGCAACTTTTAAATGTTAATGCCTATTTGTCTCTATTTGTATTGAGAGCTATATTTTAGATGAGCTGGTAAGTACTTAGTTTACAGTTCAAACCAAATCCTCGCTATACCGCTGTAACCGTTGATCACCTTAGCGTATTAAACGCCAAAAAGCTTTAGCTTTAGTATACCTTACGAGATTGTAGTCTGTATGTTCATTGGTTCACTCGTCCGATATATGATATGTTACAATTAAATTCGTTCCCATCCGATTCTCGGGTCAAAGGTTGTTAAAGAGAATAAAATCACTGGAAGCTTTGTCTCACAATTTAGAGCAAGACAGAATTCAAAGAGGCAAACGAGCTTCCGCCTCCTCTTTTTCTGTGGAAAAAAGTCCTCAATTCCTCAAAGTCCTAGAGGCCCTTCCATCCGAAAAGATTAACGTTAACACAACGCATCCCTTCTTCCATCGGCCACTGTCATTTCGGATGGGAATTGGCAGAAAATTATTCTGGCGCCTCATGGTTCTCTGAACTGGCTCTCGAAGACCAACTTGAAGATATTCTGGTGACGTGATTCCCAGCGTGAAGGACATGAAGTTTACATGCAACAAAGAAGAATCTGAGGCAGGTATATTTGTTTCAGAAAGAGAATTGCAGTGTAGAACCATCATTTTCTGGGTAGTTCAGTCTACTATTGAATGTTTGCCGGTGTAACGTCGCGCGACGATCACAGAAATGCCAATTTTGAACTGTCTTTATTGTACACATACTCTGTTTATCAAATTGACATAAAAACGTATGTCTGCGACTTAGCTAAGCCCATTAAACAAAAATGCGACCAAAGTCACCATCGCATGTTGGAATATAAGTTACGCTTCTTACGTTATTGGTCATTTCAACGGTAGTGAGAACTTACAGGGTGATGTTTTTTCAGGGGTCACGTTCTATTTTCTACCCCTTAACTTTTTTTTCTGTGTAAAAGAAATTAGTCATTTTTTGTATCTGCGACTGTTATCGAAAAAAAAATAAAAATCAATTTTCGGTGGATAGTTAAATGAGAGTAAAATTTTTAAAATGATCCAGTAGGCTCCGGCTTTATTTGGATATTTGTTTTTATTAGTTTTACAGTTCGCACTTGAAACTGTATCTTATTTTTTATATATCAAATTGTAACACCCTGTACATCGATAACGAAGCGTTTGCGGATCTATATTTATATGAACTTTTAGACCTAAAATAAGCCAAAGAACTGTGAATTTTTGCTCTACATGTACGGTTTTTTACTTTGGCAAATTTACTAACGCCAAGTGATAAAAATCGCGCCTTGTTACAATAATTAACATTTCGGCCATTCGATACCTAATATTTATTCTGATCCATTCAATGCTTTTAGTATAAAATGTCTCCTGAGAAAGTGTGATTTTAAAACTCGTTTGAGAACTACTGATTTAAAAATTAGTCGCATAGGCAACCAACATTACTTGGTAGTATACAGCACAGCTCTACAGTTGGTTCTGTTTGGCTTTATTTGAAATATAAATAATCGGATTCAGAGTTGGATCTAGCAATATTTACAAAAGAGATAATCGTCACAATGAACAAAATGTAATTAAAATGTACAATTAATTAAAAAATCTGTTTGAATCCATTCAGCTTAGCTTATAAATTCAATGGCTTAGCTTATTCTAAAAGCAGCAAACCACATATTTAAATCAGATTAATGGATTTTGTATGTATAATGCATCTGTTAAATGCATTTCCCATTAATTATAAGCGAGGCCTTACTCAAGTTACACAAGAAGACCCTGCATCGTGTGGTTTTTACTTTCTATATCTACAACGAGGATTAAGGTGTACTAATTGATGTTCCCTTTAATCGTTTTCGGTTTTCATAACGCTACTTACTTCGAAGGCCATCAAAAATAAAAGTTACGGGCACTCCAACAAATTTTTTCGCATAAATTGCGTCATACACAATGCAGTAGGTAAGTACGGCGAAATGCGGTTATATTTAAAAATTATGCCGTGGGGGCAAGGGCCACTCCATAATAATTAAGGTGCGCTAGAAATTAATTAAAGACTGAATTATTTACTTGTCACGTATTTTTAGTTACACACCAATTCACACACATTGTTTCACGCTATTTGGGAGTAATAAATACAAAAAGTAATTCACCGCGTTAATTTTTATTGCACTTTTGGGGTGAATTGTGGCATCATGTACTTCCTAATTGCACATTATCGTGCACATGCGATAAGAACAGAATGAAAGATGGATCGACATTGGGCGACTTGTGCGTTTCCGGGTTTCGAAGGATAAATAAACTGCACGATATTGGTGCTTACTTTTGAACACGGAGTGTGCTTTTGAAGCAATATCCTTCAAGGGTTTTCATTGCAAAATTCCGCGATCTTCTAGTTTACTGTGGTATGCATTTAAGGACAATATGTGAACATGAATGACACTTTCGCTGTACTACTCCCGTATTTACCTTACGAATTAGGAAAACTGCTGATCTTTTACAATCGTTCGTTTGTCGAAATAGAACACACCGGCGCGTTTAATTACACTGTCCTTAACCGAAACCCGGTTAATTTATGTAACTGGACGCACGTCTTTCGCACGATGATCTTTATTTTGACCAATTGCACCGTATTTTTTCGTGGTGTGAATAATGACACGTGCGCTTAATTTGGTTGTCGGTATTATCTAACGAGTAAAGTCCGCAAATATCCACGTTACTACAGGCGACCCGTGGAGAACATTGATTGGACTTTGAATTTCACGTTTTAAGAGGAGATAAAGGGCCAAACTTCCGCAAGGTAAAGGTTATAAGAACATTTTTATTACTGAGCTAGCCGTGGATAAGTTAAAAATTAATTGTCGTTGTAATTTTTGCTAGTGTCGTTTTATTTTAGCAAGTGAGGTCTTTGACATGTAAACCCGTTACAAGTTATGGGTAATTAAATTGTAATTAGATTTCAAAACTCGGGTAATTTATGAAAAAGCAGGGTTTCTCAACGTTAGTTATACTAAGATATCAGTGTGAAAAATTTCCGCTTGTTTATGAATTAGTTTGACGAATGAATACACTCATTATGAGATCACGAATATAGTAAAAAGTTATTAATGATTTAACGTGTTTTAGTTGCGTAGCGATTGCAGATTAATTCGTTTTGTGTTGTTTGTTTAAACGTTTGTAGTTAATCTAAAATGTCTTTGGCAGCAATGTTGTTAGGTCGCACACTTTGTCACCATTCTAAAAGGACCGCAGCCTAAACCTGGAGAATAATCAGAATCGAAAGCTAATAATATAAAAGGTAATAGAGCACTTGTGGATGCATTAAGTATAGGTAATTTTCAGTTAACTGGCTATTTTATCGGAGAGCAACAGACGTTATTGATTTCATGACATTACAGGAAATAACGAAGGATCGATGTTTCAAATGTGAATAACTCACGCAGTGGAAAAATCGGACAGTTACTGGAATGCGAAAATATGCACTTATATAATGTGAATGGAATTTTGACGGATGTTCAGATAATTTGCAAGCCACATCTCTCTTATCAAAGGAACTCCTTATCGGAATTTACAGAAAATTAATCTTATGTAATTTACCCATCGAAACGAGGAGTAAAAGTTTTCCTGCGTAATTCTAGATTTGTGTCGCTTGAGCCTATCTGCCGTGGGAAATCTCGCCCATGCTGTTTGGTTACGCTTGGTAATTTTTATAATTACAACTTCTTTTAAATGTTATATCCTTT